CACTTTAAAAAAATATGATTTCACTGTGCCTGTCTTGAATCGTTTTTCTGCTTCTGCAGGAGATGTTGACAATGATAAGACTCTGTTCCGCTTTAGTGTAAAGGACCTTCATTTTCAGACATTTTTTTCTGTATTTTGTATCTCTACCTTGTTGCTTGATGTTTGTTATATGCGTATTTATTGTAGCTTACGTTGAGTTTAGTCTAATAAAATTAAATGTGACGAAATTTTTTTGAGAGTATCCTGTCTAACCAGTGCTTTGATTTAGACATGTCAATGTTTTATGTCGAGTTAGTGAAGAAAGTACTTTCGCTTCAAGGTCTATGATACTCGGCACTCTCAGGCGTTTGCATGTGATTGCCTTTGATGACGAGCATTGCTGTGAAGGTGTTCAGTCGAAAGGAAGCTCAGAAAGCTGTTAACGTAAAGTGCGAGAGCGATGCCGAAATCGGTCATGTGCGTGAACTTATCGCCGGCACCTTCCATACAGAAAAGGACGATGTGTGCATATACCTTTGTGGTTTGCCCCTCAGCGACGACCAATGCCTAAGCAGCCTGAACATCGGACCTGCAACTTGTTTGAGTGCAGTTCTTGGCAGAACATCACGAAGTGACAGTGGCGAAGTAGCATGGAGAGGAAGACAACCGGAAAGTCGCGAATTTCAGTCGTCTTTTTATGTCTACTGCAAATTGACTTGTGGGAGTCTGCGGAATGGTATTCTAAGGGTGCGCTGTTGCGTGTGCAAGTCCAATTCCGTAGTCGTGAACTCAGAACCGGGTTGTTGGGAAGACCTTAGTCGAAACACCATCACTTGCACATGTCTGCAAAATGGCTGTGAACGAAGCTTTGCGGAATTTTATTTCAAATGCAGTGTTTGCCACAACACCGAAGGCGTTTCTGCCCTCCGTGACGTGAAGCGCAATTCATTTAGTGTACCATGTCTTGCCTGCTTTGAGATCGCTGAATGTGTCATCGTGTTTCCATGTTCAGCAGACCACGTGTTGTGCATTGACTGCTTCAAAGGTTATGTCAGCGCAAATATTGAGCAAAGGACCCTGTGCCTTCACAGGCTATATGGCTGCACGGTGCCGTGTGCCAAGGGCTGCAAAAATTCATTCATATCTGATCCGCACCACTTTCATCTTTGTGGAAATAAATTGTATGAAAAGTATCTGCTGCAAAGCAGTGAAAAGTTTTTTGTCAACGAAGGTGGCGTCTATTGCCCAAACCCTTTTTGTTCTCTTGCGTTCATCCCGTTGGAGACCACTGAATGCACGCTGCTTTGCCCAAACTGTGATATTGTGTTTTGC